CATGCAGGGAGAAAGCCTAAGTCCTACTCAAGGTGCTTTTCATGGTTCAGCCGCCATTGGCACTGTTTGCCGCTCCAGGGCTTCCCCAGAGGCTAGGTCCCAGTCCTCAGCTGATGCTGGGCCCCTGGAGTTTAAGCAGCCACCTGGGAAGTGCCCCGTGTCAGTGCTGTCTGAGCAGGGCCAGTGCTCAGCACAGCACCCATTTCCTTCATGTCTGCCAGTGGACTCCATGCCTGCTGGCTTTGTGATGGCTTCTGCTGGAGGGTCCAAGGGGCCCGTCCAGCCTTCATCTCGTGTCTCCGCTGGAGGGTCCGAGGGACCGCTCCGGTCTTCGTCTCGTGTCTCCGCTGGAGGGTCCGACGGACCGCTCCGGCCTTTGTTTCCTGTTTCCGCTGGGGGGCCCGAGGAGCCCGTCCAGCAGCCCTCCTCGTCAGCTGGTGGTTCCGGAGAACCACACCAGCTTCATGCCTCGTCGGCTGGAGGGTCCGAGGGGCCCGTTCAGCCTCCTGTCTCCGCTGGAGGGTCCGAGGGGCCCGTTCAGCCTCACGCCGCGTCAGCTGGAGGGCCCGAGGAGCCTGTCCAGCCGCCACCTGCGGCCACCTCGTCGTCGCCTGGTCCAGCTTCATCCGAGTCTTCGTCCTCGCCTGGTCCAGCTTCATCCGAGTCTTCGTCTTCGTCCTCGCCTGGTCCGGCTTCATCCGAGTCTTCGTCCTCGCCTGGTCCGGCTTCAGCCTGTGCTTCGCCTGGTCCAGCTCCATCAGAGCCTTCAGCCTCGTCTGGTCCAGCCTCATCAGAGCCTTCGGCCTCGTCTGGTCCAGCCTCATCAGAGCCTTCGGCCTCGTCTGGTCCAGCCTCCGTGTCTTCAGCCTCGCCAGGCCCAGCCTCATCAGAGCCTTCAGCCTCGCCAGGCCCAGCCTCCGTGTCTTCATCCACGCCTGGTCCAGCTTCTGCCTGTGCTTCGCCTGGTCCTGCCCCGCCTGGTCCTGTGCCCACCGGGCCTCAGCCAGTACGCTTGACACTGGGGCGCCGCCGCTGCCTTCCGCGCGGCCGGCCCCTGAACTGCTCCGTCGTCTCCTTCGTCGCCGCCGCTGCCTTCCGCGCGGTCGGCCCCCTGCACTGCTCCGTCGTCTCCTTCGTCGCCGCCGTTGGCTTCCGCACAGCCGGCCCCCTGACCTGTTTGGACTCCTGTGCTGTCGGCCCCCTGGCCAGCCCCCTGCATTGTTCTTTTTTCTGGGCTCGTGTTTTGTTTTGGGGCTTTCTTGTGCTTTGGTGTTTTTGTTTCGCATGTTTGATTTCCCCTCTGTGTCTCTCGGTTCTTAGAGTCCTCTGCCTTATGGTTTATGTCTCTGTGTTTCTTAGTTGCTGTCTCCACTGTGTCAAGTTCGCGTCTCTGTGTGATCCTTCCTGTTTTACTTTGAAGGTCCGTGTCTTATGTGAATGTGTCCTGCTTTGCTTGTCTCGTCAGTTCTAATTTCCCCCAGCTGTGCTCTCCTTCTGTGTCTCATTCTCCTCGTTACTTCCCAGTGTATTTAGTCCCTGTGTTTCTCTGAGTCAGTGTTGCGTCGTACCCTCAACAAGCTGTGTGTGTGTTTTGCCTCCGTGTTACCAGTGTTTTGGTTCCAGTTCAGTGTTTTCTGCTTCAGTGTTTTAGTCCACCAGCGTTTTTGTTTGTCTTTTGATGCCTTTAGTTAGAGGGTTTCCAGCAATAAAGCTGCACTTTAAGTTGAACTTCTGTGTCTGAGTCCTGCATTTTGGATCCACCACTCCTGCTTGCACGCCTGCCACACAGCCAACCATGACACGCTGTTCTCTCAATACCAAAAAAAAATCACGTAATCCACGTATCTTTTCAATCATCTCTAATGATCTAATCACCCTTTTATTTCTTTATTATGCTCCATGACTCAGGACTCGGGTCTTGATTGAAAGTCTTAAACTGTGCACTGGCAGACGGACCCTCTCGACCTGAAACGCTGGCTGCCCCCAACGTCCCTCCCCCCGGGACGCTGCTGTTTATTGCCCAGGGTGGCTGAAAATTAATTGGCTCCTTGAGCTGCTCTACGTTCCCCGTCAGTGCGATGGCCTCCCCTCATTGCCCTGTCACTTTAAGTCGAAGTGTATTAATGGACTGTGTGGGCCATTGATTCCTAATTTCTCTCGACGTCAACAGGCGGGATAAATACGCCCGAAGTCGGTCGTCTTCTGGCTTATTGTAATCAGCATTGTTATTGATCGCCTGCCCGACCCCCCGAAGTAATCTATTTTAAATACACTTTCAGTAAAAGAGGGGTGCTCATTGCCTAGTCAGGACACATTGTCTTCATATTAGAGAGGAAAGCCACAGATGTAGAAAAAGGGAGACAGGAAATACAAGTAGGAAGTGTCCTGAACTGGGAGATAACGGAGAAAGCAAGTGAGAGACATGCAAACTGGCCGATGGATGCGTTTCACGAGGAGCTGGGCACCGTGGTGAAATATCGCTTGCTTTTGCGTGTAGGTGGTGGTCTCTGGGTGGTCACTGTCAGTGTGAGTGCGTGTGCATATGTGTTTCTACACATCTGTCTCCCCGAGACCAGCGGATGATGGATGAGGACTCAGCTACCAGCGAGCCAGACGTTGGAGCGATCGATTTATCCTCACATTCGTCTGGGAGGAGGAGGCGTGCGGCGGCTCGCCACGGTGAACATTTCAACACAGTGTTCCTCGATATGTGCCCGCGTGTCCACGAACACACAGGCATATACTGTATTTTCATAGTAAGCATTTCAAATGGGCAATGATTCTCTCGCACCAGTGGATGCGTGAGCCGTGGTTTGAATTCCTCATTGTGCGCTGACCATAATGACCACCAAGGTGTTTTCATTGATCCGCCTGCAAAATGGCATCCACTTGTTTAACATCCAGAGTAATAATGCTTCAGCTGGCCCAGCCTCGCCCGTCTACCTGTTCATCTGGCAGTTTTCTTCAGATATGACTGCACAAGACAGGAGAAGAGTGAGTGTTTGTGCTCACACATGCATGATAAGACGTGCCTGTTTGCGTGTGTCTGGCATTCTCTGCTTGACTTCACGTGTGTCCATGCGTGCGCTTGCACAGCCACAAATGGGTTTTTGTGCGACTGTCAAAGAGCCGCTGCTCCGTCCAGCCCATTGAGCAACAAATTAGGGCCGCAAAGCAAAGTTGTCTCCAGTCTAAGCTTTGTTGTTTTTCCCCTTACTCGCTTTGCTCATCAGGTGTTCATAATCAACGTTAACAAATCAGCAGGGCATCCATTGTTCTCCCTGCCCAGCCATCTTGAAAATGGCCCCAATTACTGAGGACACCAAGGCGACGTGTCAGTTATGAGTGAACAAGATTGCATTTGACTTGGACGCGTTACAAGACGTAGGTACTGATGTTGCACACTTCGGTACAAAGCCAGCACCTGTTTTTGTTTTTTTAACAATATATTGTGAATGTCAAAGAGCTTCTAGAAGGAAGTTTCTCCACCTGGCAGTCATTTCGGTAGTGCTTCGGGGCTCTTATTTTAAATCCACTGTCAAAATGAATATGGAAAGAGCTTTTCTGTTATCATCGGGGCATAAAAACTGTATAAAGCCACCAGTCTAATGTGACAGAAATAACTTTTAAAAATGGGTATTCTTCCTGAAAAAATTGGCTTTTGAAGCTTTTTCAGGTCACACTTCTTCTACGCATGCTCGCCATTAAACAACTCTATGACTTCATTAAGAGGTCAATCAGTATTGGTGACGTCACACCATTCATAATGAAAAACTCCATGCATTCATCTTTTATTCACATATTTGTTACTATCAAAACGAGAAGATAGAAATATCTTGAGCGACCCCTCGTTTCTTTATGTTTTGCTGCTTCAAAACAGCTTTCTTGTAATTTTTGTAGGGTATCAAAGTTTTTCTTTGGACATTGGCTGCTTTTTCACTCATTTTGAGTCCAGACCTGACTATCTAAGGAAACTGTGGAACACAGGCAACCACATCAGTCTCGGATTGGCCTCCCCAGAGCCCGGATCTCATCATTATTGAAGCAGTGTGGGATCACATTGACAGAGAACAGAACAAAACGCAGAAACACCAAAAGAAGAGCTTTGAGTGTCCTTCAAGAAGCCTGGAGAACTATTCCTGAAGACGACTTAAAGAAATGACAAGAAAGCTGCCTAAGAGAGTTCAGACTGTGCTGAAGAACAAAAGTGGTCACACCAAATATTGACTTTCAAGCTCGTTATGATTGTACAAACTCTGTTTTTGCCTTATTTACTGTATTTACATGTGCGTTTTCAAATGTTTCAATAAAACACTGTACCTCTTTCCCATTCCCTTGCAAAATATAAAGACATGAGAGGCAGCTCAAGACTTTTGCACAGCAGTGGATGCCACCAAATAGTTATAAATGTCGTGAAACTATACTCCAGCTAAGTTAGTTATTTGCTGTTTGTTGCCATTTTTGCATTTACTGGATTCTGTTATATGTTTCTATTAAGGTTTCCACTGAGCACATCTCTCTTTCTTATAAGGTCTCTGGCGTTTACAGCTTCTACGTTTAAAATGTGTGTCATCATTGACTCAGTGGCCATGAATATCAACAATTCAATGTTCTCTAACCACAAATCTGTGGTGACATCACTGTCATATGAGTGCTCACAGTTTGGGAAATTTTAGACTGAGAAATGTTGAGTTTTGTTTTTGGACTCTGACAGGCAGATCGTCTGCGCCAAAAAACTGACATCTCTGAAATGCTATAAAAGCCGACTTGGAGTCTCCATCTCTTTGAGTCATGTATATGAGAAGTGCTAACAATGAATGATTGAGTCTAAATGTCTGCTTGGATGTGCAGTTAATGACAATGACAATTATGACAATAATTTTATGTTAGTGCTGACATTTGCCACATCACCGATCTCAGACTGCTTCAGTCTTGAAATTTAAAATGATGAATGACTTCATGAGAGGATTCGCAGTCAACTCTTTCTCTCTCTGTCTCAGGGAATGATGTACCTGGAGGAGAGGAGGCTGGTCCACAGGGACCTGGCAGCTCGGAACGTGCTGGTAAAGTCTCCCAATCACATCAAGATCACCGACTTCGGCCTAGCCCGACTGCTGGACGGCGATGAGAAAGAATACAACGCAGACGGGGGAAAGGTCGGTGTAAGTGGAAGAGTGTTAATCTTTATGTGTGTACAGCGCAATTTCACATGCGGGACAATTGATATGAAAGTACTAAAACTACAAGACTTGTGACAGGGAAAACCGTACATAAATGACACTTTTCACAATAATATACATTAAATTCAGTTCATTTCAATTCAGTTTTATTTATATAAACTTGTCTCACTTTATCTGAGCAAAATCACAGTAACTGTTGACTCGAGGCGCTTTATATTGTAAGGTAAAGATCCTACAAGAATACAGAGAAATCCCAAACAATCAAACAAACCACTACAAGCAATCACTTGGTGATGGTGGGAAGGAAAAACTCCCTTTTAACAGGAAGAAACCTCCGGCAGAACCAGGCTCAGTGAGAGGCAGCCAACTGTCACCCTATATCAGGTGTGCATAATTATTAGGCAACTTCCTTTCCTTTGGCAAAATGGGTCAAAAGAAGGACTTGACAGGCTCAGAAAAGTCAAAAATAGTGAGATATCTTGCAGAGGGATGCAGCAGTCTCAAAACTGCAAAGCTTCTGAAGCGTGATCATCGAACAATCAAGCGTTTCATTCAAAATAGTCAACAGGGTCGCAAGAAGCGTGTGGAAAAACCAAGGCGCAAAATAACTGCCCATGAACTGAGAAAAGTCAAGCGTGCAGCTGCCAAGATGCCACTTGCCACCAGTTTGGCCATATTACAGAGCTGCAACATCACTGGAGTGCCCAAAAGCACAAGGTGTGCAATACTCAGAGACATGGCCAAGGTAAGAAAGGCTGAAAGACGACCACCACTGAACAAGACACACAAGCTGAAACGTCAAGACTGGGCCAAGAAATATCTCAAGACTGGTTTTTTCTAAGGTTTTATGGACTGATGACATGAGAGTGAGTCTTGATGTGCCAGATGGATGGGCCCGTGGCTGGATTGGTAAAGGGCAGAGAGCTCCAGTCCGACTCAGACGCCAGCAAGGTGGAGGTGGAGTACTGGTTTGGGCTGGTATCATCAAAGATGAGCTTGTGGGGCCTTTTCGGGTTAAGGATGGAGTCAAGCTCAACTCCCAGTCCTACTGCCAGTTTCTGGAAGACACCTTCTTCAAGCAGTGGTACAGGAAGAAGTCCGCATCCTTCAAGAAAAACATGATTTTCATGCAGGACAATGCTCCATCACACGCGTCCAAGTACTCCACAGCGTGGCTGGCAAGAAAGGGTATAAAAGAAGAAAAACTAATGACATGGCCACCTTGTTCACCTGATCTGAACCCCATTGAGAACCTGTGGTCCATCATCAAATGTGAGATTTACAAGGAGGGAAAACAGTACACCTCTCTGAACAGTGTCTGGGAGGCTGTGGTTGCTGCTGCACGCAATGTTGATGGTGAACAGATCAAAACACTGACAGAATCCATGGATGGCAGGCTTTTGAGTGTCCTTGCAAAGAAAGGTGGCTATATTGGTCGCTGATTTGTTTTTGTTTTGTTTTTGAATGTCAGAAATGTATATTTGTGAATGTGGAGATGTTATATTGGTGTCACTGGTAAAAATAAATAATTGAAATGGGTATATATTTGTTTTTTGTTAAGTTGCCTAATAATTATGCACAGTAATAGTCACCTGCACACACAGATACCCCCCTAAAATAGCTAAAACTAAAAACAAACTAAAAACTACTTCCAAAAACATTCAGCTTTGATATTAATGAGTTTTTTGGGTTCATTGAGAACATGGTTGTTGTTCAATAATAACATTATTCCTCAAAAATACAACTTGCCTAATAATTCTGCACTCCCTGTATATTCATTATATAATTATATGTAATTAGTTTTTAAAGTGTTTGAATTGATGATATTTGTTACATTTCTTTTTTCCATCCTTAGTTTTATTTCTAGCTCCACACTGGCCTTGTTAGCACAGCCTGATTAGTTTCATAATACATCTGTGCGCAGCTCTTGTATATTAAAATACAAGCACTTAGAGCACTTACAGCGTTAAAAGAAGACAACAGTGGAGCAAATCAGAAACAACCTGACAGCTCGTTGATTCACGAGAGCTTCCTTATTACCTCCCAATCAGTGGCTTTACAGTTAAAAAGGAACCAGCTGTGCGATTCTTTAAATATTGATTGGATCATAATTATCTGAGTGCACAAATCAGTAATTAGTCCCATTTCACTGCAGGGCAACCTGCATGTGACGAATAAAGCTTTGATTGATTGATTGATTGATTGATTGATTGATTGATTGATTGATTACAGATTAATCACTCAGTAACTGTTTTTGTTTTGGAAGGAAACACCATACTAGATGCATACTACTACTTCCTTGTTGGATAAGGAATACTTTACCATTAACTACCTTTTCTGTATCACCATGAGTAAAGAATACTTATTAGTTACTTATTTCCTAGGGACTGTCACTTATTGGTTTTTGTCTGTTCAATCAATAAGGCAAAGCATTTAAAGATACAGTCATATGAAAAAAAGACCCCGAGCTTCAAAAATGACACCTCACGATTCGGTAGATTGTAGAACCAAAAACTTGACGGAAGGATTTTCAGTCTCTCACATCATTGTGGAGAAAATCTAAATCGTGCTGCCATGTTCTTTTTAAAGAGGAGAAGAAAGGCACAAGTCACACTTGTTCAGTGTTTTTCTACTTCTACTTGGGATGGGTCTCATCTCAAGAACGACGAGTCACCATACAGAGAGGAGGTGCAACAGCTAACGGACTGGTGTAGAGTTAACAACCTGTCTCTGAATGTGGATAACACAAAAGCGATGATTGTTGACTTCAGGAGAGCACGGAGAGATCACTGTCCACTTACCATTGATGGATCATCTCTGGAGGTCATCAAGAGCACCTAATTCCTTGCTGTCCACCTGGCAGACAACCTCTCCTGGTCCCTCAAGACTCGCTCCATAACCAAGAAGGTTACAGCATCTGTACTTCTTGCGGAAGCTGAGAAAAGCCCATCTCCCTCCATCTATTCTTACCACGTTCTAAAGTGGGATTATTGAGAGCATCGTGAGCAGCTGCATCACTGTCTGGTATGGTAACTGCACCGTATCGGTTCGCAATACCCTATAACAGATAGTGAGAGCAGCTGAGAAGATCGTTGGAGCCCCTCTCCCCTCCATCGCGGACACTTATAGCACCCGCTCCATCCACAAAGCCACCAGCATCGTGGAGGACCCCACACACACTCTTTACCCTGCTGCCTTCTGGAAAGAGGCACCTGGGACCTCACTACCAGACTATGGAACAATTAAAAGTGTTACCATAGAGAGCTTTGAAAACTCCAGTCAAAAGCTGGCTCAGACAGTCAGGGGCTGCATAGCTGTAAAGTAAAGAAGACACAACCTCTGTTACTCTATCATCACTCATTTCAAATGTCAGCACAGCCAGTCACACACACGGCAGAGTTGCAGTGATTAATCTCAGTGTGTTTTTCTTTTGTCAGACAACTTTGTGAAGATCAAATAATGATCTTATCGGCGTCAGAGCAATAGCGGAGAATTACTTTTCATGTCACTTAGCAGGTAGTATCCGTACCCCGCGATCAAATCACTGTTTTGTGCCCGTTTAGCGGAACAAAAACAGACACACGTGTAAATGAGAACAACAAAATCATAAGTGTGGCTTTGTTTAATCACAGCAGAGGTAACGATGGAGATAAGGAGGAACGTCAGCGGGGTTACAGCACCGTGTTGGCTCAATCTGGCCAGATATTAATTGCCAAGCTTAATTTTGCTGTTTATCAACCCAAAAAAGGGAGAAAAATAAGAAGAAAGGCTGTCATTTTCATATTTCAGTCATTTAGACGCAAGTAGTTATCTTTACAAGAGCAAAACAAAACAAAAGCACTGTGATTACAGTTTCAAATTTAGAAAAATTAACGCTTTTTGGTTCATGAGCACCTGAAGTAGCATGGACGTACAACAAAAACCCCAAGGAATGTGTTATGTTGAGCACATTTGGTCAGAAAAAACAGTGGTGAACTTTAGCACAATATAATTTAGAAGCACTTCATGCAAACAAATAACGTAGCCGCAGCTCCCAATCAGTTTGTTTTGTTTGGGGAACCAGTCTGCATTAATTAGAATCGCCTTCTCTTTTTCCCCACCCCACTCGAGACTTCCTATGCAAATGTCCTGATCAACTCCCTTTATTAAATTGGCTCATTCATCGCTACACCCATTCAGTTGGAGGCCCGTAGGTAGCCACTGCATCTTGAGTTGGAGCAGTTATCTCTGGACACGAAAAGGGTGGTGGGAGTGGGAGTGTGGTTGCGGGGTGGGGGGGCAGTATTTTCATAAACCAGGCGAGTTTGATTCAGCCATTCTGAGTGATTGGCTCCATGTTGGTATTCACTGATGCCTGGAAGAAAAAAGAAAAAGAAAGAAGGGTGGGGGCTGTTGTCAGCACATCTACACGTATGCCATAAAAATAGACGTGCCGTGGGAGATAAATCAACAGAGATGAAAGTGGAGGTGCCATACCACATTTCCAACCTGAAGCAGTTTCATTTCCTCCCTTCCTGCTCATTTCCCCAAAGAATGAGTGTGTGTGTGTGTGTGTGTGTGTGTGTGTGTGTGTGTGTGTGTGTGTGTGTGTGTGTCTGTCAGGCTACCAAACGAAGGGAGGGGCTGGATTTTAAATGACCTCACATGCAAAAGGACACATAATTGCCTTGCTCAGTAGACATGCTGAAAATCCAGTCAATATGGAAATCACACAGTGGTCGGGATTTGGCGCGACGTCTGCCGTCGTCCTTGTCGGGAATGTCGAGAGATCTGCTGTTATTACTGTTTCGCACCCCTTCCCGCTCTCTTTAGGCTGCTCGGATAAAGTGAGACAAATGGCCGATACAATCTCATTTAGCATCTTAAAAAGCGCACTCGCTATTGATGATTTCTGAGTCCAATCAATCACAATACTTGAGTAATATTGAGCAAAGCAAAACTATGGTTGAAGGCGCTGTCGATTGCCCAATAGCTTTTGAATGCTGGAGTAAAAGAAATGGCTGCTTTTGAGCAAACCAGCATAATGGAAAGTTGTCTGCAATTCAGGTATAAATGGATCAGATGAATGAGAAGCTAATAGTTCAGATTTTAGTTGTTTTATTTTTAATGTCTCTCCTCAGATGCCCATTAAGTGGATGGCTCTGGAGTGCATCCACTACAGGAAGTTCACCCATCAGAGTGACGTGTGGAGCTACGGTGAGTGTATTTCTTGTAGGCGTCAATGTTCCTCGTGCTCCAGCGACCTCAAATCCTGTTTAGTGTATCTGCATTTGCATTTTCACCCGCTCCCTGTCTCCTGTCGTTCTCTGGGTCCCTCTGCCTCACCTTTCCCATCTTTCTCTGTCTATCTTATTAATATTTTTGTTTTTCTACTCCTCTTCCGCACAACACACTCCAGGAGTGACCATCTGGGAGCTGATGACATTTGGAGGCAAGCCTTACGATGGGATCCCCACGCGAGAAATCCCAGACATCCTGGAAAAAGGCGAGCGCCTGCCCCAGCCGCCAATTTGCACCATAGACGTCTACATGGTCATGGTCAAATGTAAGAACACACGCACACACACATGTCAGACTTCTTCCTGTGTCTGAAGCAAAGTGATGAGCGGGGTATAATTTTACATGTGAAAAGAAATGGCATAGATAAGCTTGCTTCTGATAAACATATCTATAAATAATAACCACATGTGAAAGTCTATTTACGCCTTTACAATTTAGTTTAAGTTTATTGCTGCTTTGCCAATAAACATGGCTTCCCTGCTTTTCATTTTCTTAATATGTATCTGGTGTCAACAGGCCACCAGCTTACAATAAAACTGTCTGAAGCTAAAAGCAATGACAATGACATAACAGCAGAACCTGTAATATTTACTAATTAACACGTAAACACACAACAGCGTTAAATTTGCTTGGCTCTCGAGAGCTGCAAGTTCTTTGGAAACTAGCATGAAGTTACTAAACTAGAAAAATAGCTCATAACTGATCAGAAACCCAAAACTTTTTATTTTTAGATATAAAGAGTTTATTTAACCATGCTTTCTCCACTCTACAAGTTAGGCTTGTAGATTAATTTGACATGTGAACAGAATGAATTGAAATTAACACATAGATCCTCCTGATAGAAGAGCGTCAGAAATATTAAAAGTTATATGTGATGGCTTAATCATTCCATGGATCTTATTGGGGTTTGGACACATATCATGGTAGGTATCCTCTAGAGACAGCATATAAAAGATGTAAACCTTCATGATATCAGTTACTGGATATGCTACAGTAATATCAGGGAAAACAGTGGATGGAGACCATGGAATGACCAATTTTACTGCAACTGTGTGCAATGAACTTGCACTCTTGTTTCCTTTGAAAAGCTTGCTTTCAAAAATTGAGACCAGATCTATGATCACTCCCAGTTGGTGGTCATCTCTGAGTTGACTTTGGTGCGTTAAGACTGGCAGAATGGGGTCAAGTTTGCAACTGCATCAATTAACTGTGATCTGTTGCTATCTGCTTCACTTTTGCCATCTATGTACTCAGAAATTCACATTAACTACTTAAATTTAGAATCCAGCCTGAAATTAATACGTTTGAAATAAATAAGTCCTCTGCAAACAGTGACGTGTTTGCTAAACAGCCATTTTACTGTTAAATGGCATAGGTCCTAGCTTTTATATTGGAATTTAACCAGAATACAACCAGCGGGCAAACAGCTCGGTCGATTCTCCTACTACAAAGAGACGAGTGTAGAATGACTCAGATTTATTGCAACCTGTTGGAAAGCTATCCGTGTTTATAAATTAGATGGTAATTATGTTTAAACCCTAGCTATTTGGAGTCAGGTTGCCTCCCACCAGGAGAGCTGTGCAATGTGGTCAAAAGTGGTTACAGTAACTCCTTGCAATCAATCAACAAATGCAAAACAGAATAAATGTCACTGATTCAACATTAATTATTTTCCATTTCCAAGAAGATTGCTGTCTTATTTTTACTCTAATATGACTGCTGTTTTGAAGCTTTTGGTGTTTATAGCATATGAAGCTAATAAGCTAGCAAACTTGGCCAATAGCATGTTTTGCACATTGTGTGATACTGAGTAATGTGCAAATTTTGTCAGGCTGAAAACAGATGTGAAACTGTACTACTGGAGTAAATTAACCAACTCCTTGGAGTATGTCTCAGTATGCTGCTATTAATCTAATGAATGCCAAACAAGATCATCCACAATCAAAGTAGTCTCACCTCTACAAAAAGCGGATTTTTAAACCTTAATAGAAATGGCTGAGTTATATGAAATGGCACCTACTGTAAAGATGTCATAAATGAAATGAAGGGAGCTTTAGAGACCAAATGCATTTTTGTACCAGCATGTAAACCTGTTTATTTCTGCTCTAAAGTCTATGGGCTCTGTACTGTTTTTGGAGCCTTCCTCGAGTAGTCATTAGAGGAGCTACTGCCTCGGCCCCAAAGTTTGCTGCTTGGTGTTACAAAACTCTAGATCCATATTATATATTAGTATATAAGTTTTAGCAAATTCCTTATAGCAGTCATTCAAATATTGTTGTTGTCTAAGCAACACATAGCAGCATGAAACAATGTTATAGAGTAGCACTCCAATAAAGCACGCCTCGTGGAGAACATGATCAAATTTATTTTTATGCCATGTTTATTCACTACTGTAATTCGGCTTAAAGTGTCACGCATGAGTTGTAGTTTAATAATAAGGCTCAGATGTTAAATATTCATCTGGTGAGATGTTAGTTGGGCTCTGGGGCTTCATTTCAAGGCTAGAAGAAAAGCTGGTATATGGAAAGAAGGAAAGTAGATGAGCTGTTGTCATGAAACTGTGATGAGATGCTGGTTTATGGTCTGCAGCATACAGCCCAGCCCTCACTGGGGATAATGCCCACATCCTTGTTGGTGTCATCCTCCATCTGGACAACCACATCTCCCCAAACGCTCCCTCAAGCCAGTACAGCTCATCCAAAAATCCGCCTTCTCCCATCCTCCCCAAATTCTCCCATGTCTTTCCCATCTTGCAATCGTTCCCCTGGCTGAATTCTGTACCCTGTTGCTGGTGTCCATGGCTGTGGAGGGACCCTCCCTCCCATATTTCCAGGAAACTGTCCAGACTTGTATGCCAAACCATGCTCTGAGCTGTGCCAGCCTTTGGCTAGTTGGCTGTCCATCCACGCACCAGTCTGGTATTCACGCCGCCCTGTCTGAACTCAAGTATGTCGGAGTGACTTTTCTGTCACTCAGTCTTCTGTTGTCTGAAAATCTCCCCAAAAATGACCTCACTTCCACTCCTCCCCACTGACTTTCTTGTTTTCCCTCTTTACTTGTGATTCTCAGTTATTTTTAATTATCTAATCTTTTGTACCAGTGTTGTATCTCAATACATTCTTATGGCTGCTTGTAGCGCAGTGAATTTAAGCTTAGTCTACTGTTCCACTCATTGTAATTCACTCTGCAAAAGCTTAAAATGGCAAATGTGTTGAAAGAGAATAATGTGATCCAGCTTAGAGCTTGATATCAAAACATATTCCCATGACAAAAATGTTAATCCAACCGAAATGTCATAATATCTAATAGTTGCCAATGGCTTTTGACAGCACAGAAGCAAACCATGAAAGCCCTGCAGCCATTTAGCCTAATAATGCCAACTTATCCTCTCTTTCTTCCTGGTGGAGAAATGTAATTTTTATGTGCTATGCTAATTTGTCTGGACGTGTCTGGACACTAATGTTGTAAATGCTGAGGTCAGAGAGGTTCATTCAGCTTAACAAGCAGCAAAAATGCTTATCTACACCTGATTTATTAGGGTAGATGTCTGATACACAGTACACCACAGAAGCTTTGAATGCTAAAAGTAAAGGGAGAATGCTTTCAAAGCTGATGAGTTTGAAGTCAGCTGTAGTATGAGTACCCTTTGTCAGTTACATTTCTGTAGTTTTGCCTCTGTACACCATCAACATATGATCGAACTACTGAATTTAAGCTACAGTTCACAGGATTAAACAAAAGTGTTGCTTTAACTGTTTAGGAATTACATTCATTTTTATACATTGTCTCACAAGTTCCATAACCGGTGTTGGTCAAGTTAATTGAAAATAGTAATTAGTTACTAATTGCAGATTACTTTCCCAATAAAGTAATCCCGTTACTTTACAGGTTACTTATTTTCAAAAGTAATTAGTTACCTTACTACTTAGTTACTTTTTAAAAACATGATACATAAAACCATATAAAGCAATAGACCTTTCAGCCCAATTCTTTTTTTTCATAATCAATCATATAAAATCTGTGAATTCCACATTCCTGTGGCAGCGTGCTAGGTGCTTGCTCAGATTTGAAGTTTAATATTTACGCTGTAGAAAGACGATTTTTCCAAATAGTAATCCCTTACTTTACTTGTTACTTGAAAAAGTAATCGGATTACAGTAACACACTACTTTTAACACGTTACTGCCCATCCCTGCCCATAAGTAACTGGACAACTGAATGACAAGCAGTTTCGTGGTCAGGAAAGTGCTGTTCCCTCATAATTACATGACAAATTAGAGAACCACCTTATAATTTTACTTTTAATTTAAAGATCACAAATAGCTCTTTCAAACTATATATAATCGTGTAACATTTTTATCAATGCTTTCTAATTATGTGTTTCTGCTGCACCACCACTGCTCTCTCCTCGTCATCTCCACCTCATCTTCTTCCTCCTCACCACGAACCTCGTTTCCTGAGCTGACATCAGGGCTCTAGCACATGAAAACATTATTATTTATCCCTGGTATTGTCACCGATACTTATTGTCAGCAGATTAGACTTTTGACCCTCTCACATCCTCATATCAAATGAGTCGATTTGCTAAGTATCAGAGTCCAACAATGTTAGATCCACTTCAAAGAAAGTTTGACATACACCAGCTAACAGAGGCTAACTCCTGCTAACAGTGGCAAAAACAGCAGCACTTACTGATGGAAAAGTTTAGGATATACTCAACAACTCACCTCAGTATTACTGTCAAAGTAAGCTTTGCTGACTTTCTCAAAGTTTTAAGCCTCCTCCAGAGCAAATAGATGTGGACACTTCTCACTTGGCATATTGACAGCTGAGGTAAACAATAGTTTCTCAAGGCAAAGAATGGGATATTCCACAATGGCCAAGTCAGTGACCTGATCATAACCCAAAAGAGCATACTTCTCAGTTATTAAATGCAAACCTGAAGGCAGAGAGACCCACAAACAAGCAGCAGCTGAAGGCTGCAGTAAAGGCCTGGCAGAGCATCTCAAGGGAGGAAACAGGATTTGCTGATATCCATGGATTCTAGACTTCATGCAGCCACTGACTGCAGCAGATTTTCATTCACATATTAAAAACAGTCCCTATATTTAAGATTGTATGTCTGATTACTTTTGAACCTCAGAAAAAGAGGAACTGTGTGTAAAAAGAGCTGTGATTCCTGAACAGTTAAAGCAATACTATCATATTTCACCCAAGTAGTGACCGGATGCTGTAGAACTATCTTTTAAATTCCGTGATTTGTAGTAACAACAAGCACTTTTTTATTCTTGGTTGTGCGTGGTGTGTTTGTCACTCGTAGTCATTGTGCAGCTGACACAAATGTCGTTCCACTTATCCTACTCACTATATTTCACCCTTATTAATGTAGTTTACATTAGTGAGTGGCTGTTTTAACACCATGGAGGAAAAATCATAGAATAAGTGATTCTGACTTTATGTGATCCCACACTTAATCAGGGGCAGGGCTCCTTGTCTTCTTGTTTTTTGGCATTACCTTTTAATTAGTAATTTTATATTACTGCTTATCATCCCAGCAGGTTTAAAATCTTCAGAAACGGACTATTTTTTACCCACCAATTAGCAAAAACTAACAGTGAGCGTCATGATCAAAAATAACCCAAACAGGTCAGGCACAGAGTCCAAGTAGCGGGAGAGTCACACTGCCCAGTCAGAAGCCGGAAGCAGGCTCAGCAATCGGCCACATTAATTCTAATTGCATGTTGACTGCGAGCCGTTTGTTTGTGATCTCATGGGCCGTCACACTGCGTGCCCCACCGCTTCTGCACCACCCCAATAAAAATGAAATAGAGTTTGATCGCTGGAGTAATTACACCTCATTTAGGTAATGTGCCTGCGGTGGGGCGTTACAAGTGGAAATTTGAACAAAGTCAAACAGGCGAAGTGACAGCTGAAAGGGTCAGGCTTTATTTAAGAGGAGCTAGATTAAAAGTGGTGCCCAGAATGTAAGAAATGCACATAAGACTGCAAATTTTTAATTCGATAAATGCCATTAGAGTATAGCAAGGTATATGCAAGTTTTTTGTAACATAAATACATGAAAAAGCAAACAATAACATACTATAAACCCCCTACTGGACTGCTGGAGACACCTCACTTTAGCCATCGATGCTGCAGAGTGTGTTATGGAGATGTCGACAGTGAAATCAGCAGCTCTCCTTGCTTACGATCTAATCCGAGCTAATACACCACCTGGCATTTTACCTTCAGGGGTTTGCTGTGTTTACTGCTGCAGTAGCCTGAAGGAGAGAAATGTGGTTTACAAAGTAAAATAAAAAAAACTTTTTTTATTACAACCTCTGAGTTGCCCTTGAGCAAAGCAGTAGAATTAAGTCAAAGTGAACGGCACTGTTGCTCATTCAGCATTCCTGAAATAAATGAAGGTTGAAGGTACACAGTGGCACAGCTTTCATTGAGTGCTTTCTCTTAGATAAACCGCGCACAGATAAAAGTTTAACAAAGCACTACATTATCCAGTATAAAGTGATAGCTGGAAATGTCCCCTTTTACCATTTCTTACTGAAGTGTATTCATGGAGCTGTTGGATTGCACCAAAATGACACTTTTTTTTGTTTTTATCCAACTGAAGAAACAGAATATTCACATTTAGTGCGATCTAGCTGAAATTCAATTATTATTATTAAATGGTATTTCATGCAAGAGAGCTAATAAAGACAAATTAAATACTCACAGCTCTCATATTGATGTTTAAAGCGTTTTTGATTGATTCACAATATCAAGTCGTGCACTGAATAACACGCAAGGAAACATTCCACCCTAATCGCTGTCGGTAGATGCCGGTTGCATTCAAACAACACAATGAAAGACACTCATACCCTGACAGTTGGTTATTAATATTATTGCATGGATGTCAGTATAATTTGATTCTACCAAATTAAAAAGAATAACTGGGGAGAGAGAGGGCAACCATCCTGTAGGAAAGTAATGGAACAGAGGGAAGAAGACACGTCTAGGGAGAGCAGCGGCTGATGAAGATGGTCGGGCAGGCTGAGATGGAGATTTATGATCTATTCATAACGCCTGTCTAGCATTTGATCATGGCTAATGTATGAAAACCACCATGGTTACCTTAGAAACCAGTCGCAACCCTGCCATGCTCATGCATCATCAGTGTCCTCCGGTATTTAGAGACACATCACTGCACCCCTGGCTGTATTCTGTGATATGCCAGCTGTTTGTCAAATATTATTTTGGTTTGAGTAACACTTTGCAATAAGAGATTCAAAAGTGGGGAACAGGAACTACTGAGTAAATATGCTTTTACACTGGGGATAAAGACGTTATTGGCAAGTGTGACGTAATCCTGAAGCATTGAGAAATTATTGAGGACCTCTAATGATAAATCATACAGGAGAGGGTAGCACTAACAAAAAGACAGGAGTCAGAGCGGTGGAAGAGTGGAAAATGCTAAGATTTTTACTGGGAGTGACCAGAATGGTATTCATTATAAATGAGTACATCAGAAGGACAGCTCAGGGTTCAAAGATAACGTTAGAGAGGCAAGGCTGAGATAGTTTTTATTGGACAAAGGGTGTAGAATATGGAGATGGAGGAAGGTGGGGGGGTACCACAGAGGAGGTTCGTGGATGTAGCGAAGGAGGACATGCAGAGGGTTGGTGTGCCAGAAGAGGTTGATAAAGGTTGGGTAGGATGTGGGCAGATTATCTGGTGTTCCTACACATAAATGGACCAGCCAAAAGAAGAAGAAGAAGGGGAATGTAATAGCAACGTAGTCCTAAAGTCATGATGAATGGCTACATAACTACTGATTAATTACTGAGTAACTACTGAGCAAGTATGTGTTTACAATGGAGTGTGGAGGAATGACTGCTAAGGATGACAAAGCAAAGAGAAACTGCTGAGGAACTATAATGATACATCAACTGAGCAGATAAAGAAACAACAGGTAAAGTAGTTCTGAAGTTATGAGCAACTACTTTGTAACTAGTGAGTAACTGCTGAGTGATATACTTAATTACTTGAGGTAATAAAAAAGAATGACTAAGCAGCAATAAAGAAGCAATTAGTGTTTTGTTCTGCTGTGTTTGATTTATTGAGAATGAACTCTACATATGAAAAAAAAATGGACCTTTCCGGATTTACGGATGATTATGAGCTAATCATTACCTTATGATTCACTAATAGTGTGTTTAGCAGCTGGCTCTTAAGTATTTAATAGCCCTGGGTCAAGAGTTATTAGGGAAGTACTAAAGAACAACTCATTAACTATCAGACTGTTCCTGATTTGTTGTTCCTATTTCTTTAGCAACTATCCCCCTCTTAGAGTAATACACAGGGCTGACAGGAAGCTGCAAATGCAGTAAGAGGCTCAAGAGTAGTCCTTCTGAAAAATGAGCAAAGAAAAAGGAGACAGCTGGGATAAAGGTTAAGGAATTGTAGACAATTAATAAACTTCTCTCTGTATATTTCTCTGCTTCTTTTTCTAACTCCACGGCATTCTTCCTTTGCCCTCTTTCTCTTCCCCAGGCTGGATGATTGATGCAGACAGCAGGCCGAAGTTCAAAGAGCTGGCCGCCGAGTTCTGCAGAATGGCCCGTGACCCACAGCGATATCTGGTGATTCAGGTGTGTCCTTTGATAAAAACTTTCCTTTGTTTCTTTTCTCTGCAAACATTTACATATCGTGCAGACACAAAAGTATTATCTGATGCATCTCTCGCTGCAATCTGTATGCTGCTGGAATTAATTTGGTGCTCGGCAATTAAAACTGTTACACGTGTATAATTCAGGGAGACGACCGTATGAAGCTTCCCAGTCCCAATGACAGCAAGTTCTTCCAGAGCCTGCTGGACGAACAGGACCTTGATGACTTGATGGATGCCGAGGAGTATCTGGTGCCTCGAGGTTTCAACATGGCCACTCAGTCATGCACGACCAGGCCTCGTGTTGACCCCAACAGGGTAAGACCACTGACGAAGACTGTGTTATACTGCATTTTGGAAGCATTTGTGTGCCAAACACTCCAAAGTTGTTAAGCATCATAGATGATCTCCAGCAAAAAACATCTTTAATTTTGTGTACGTGCCTCTTCTCTTTTACTGTCCTACAGTATATAAATGCTCAAGGTGGTTAAGAACCTGCAATACACTGATGATTTCCCTCTACTAATAACCTGCCTCCATCATTTCCATCACAGTGTGTGTGTCTTAAACCTGGACTCTTTATGCAGTAGCTCCCCAGGCCCCAGGTTTCATTACTCAGAGCGCCATAGGCAAATAACAAGCCGCTATCTTAAAATGCTGGAGTCGTTTACAAATAGACAATGAGCACAGGCTGGGCTGCTTGCTTTGCAGCATGCACCATGCGCTGCTGGCCAGCCCATGGCTCCGCATCTTATACAACTTTAGCCCCACGACCTATCCATTTGCCAGTGGCTCTTTGTTCCCTGACAGCCGCTCACATACGCCAAAAAAACCCACACATGATAATCGAGTCAAAGTCCTACTTGTTTAAGGTCAACAACCAGATTGGCAATTGAAGATCTTTTGATTTTACAATCAGAAGCTGCCGCATGCCCAAGCAGGGAAGGGTGTATAAATCCATCAGTGAGCTGACTTTGCCGAAGGAAGTTAGTTATTCAGGTTGTGCCGCCTCAGACACAGTCCGATACAGACGGTTATCTTATCTGTGCTGATTTGCTCTCACTCGCTCACACTTGAAAAGACGAGCCGATAATGACTTGCTTTGAAGAAGGGATGAACAGAGAAGTTTGGAGGAGGAGGATGCTGATTGCAGTAGAGGGAAAACCGTAGGAGTAGGTGGACGAATATAACCCCGGGACATTTCCCTCTTTTCTGTTGTGTTTTGTAGATCTGCTTCCCGTAATTGCTGCTGTAGCGCTAGCAGCTGGCAAGAGTGCAGAGAAGTTGGCCTGGATTAAATAGCCTGCAGCAAGCCAACACAGCTCCACAAGAAGCCCTTTGCTTCATTTGTCATGTTTTGTATAGTCTGGTGGGCCTTTTTTTTTTTTAAGGTTCAGGTGTTTGTATCATAGCTTTGCCTGGCTGCCCCTCACAGTCCCTGGTGGCTGATGACTACACCAGCAGAACTTTGTCTGAGAATTTTACTTCAAAAGGCAGCAGCATGGGTTAAAGGCTCACTGCTTTGCCGCAGTTGGAACAAAAGTTGTGTACGCTAGCTTAAACTTTGTTGTTATTAGCTTATTTGCCATAGATATTATATCATCAAAGAGTTAGACAGTACCCAGAGTACCTCAGACCAAAGATATTTACAGCTAAGTTAATTCAGAAAGTATCTTAATCAGAATTTCTGGCAGAGAGCAGAATTCATGGTTCCATCAATTACAGCAAGTAATTGAACTGAAGCAGCAAACTGCCACTACATTGTATGGTATGATGTTCTTTTTATGAAGTGTTGTGTTAGTTTTATGCAGATGTAGTGGAACTCAAACCTTCCACAAAGTTCAGATGTTGTTTCATCAGTCCACAGAATATTTTCCAAAATTGTGGGGCATCATCAAGATGTTTTCTGGTCAATGTGAGACTTTATGTTTTTGTTTTTGGTCAGCAGAGGTTTTCTCCTTGAACTCTCCCTTGGATGCCATTTTTGCCCAGTCTCTGTCTTATTGTTGAATCATAAACTTTGACTGCAGTTCTTTAGATCTTGTTCAGTCCACTTTTGGTAGGCCATTCACTCCTGGGAAGGTTCTATAACCGATTCAATTCCGATTCACAAGGTCCTGATTCGATTTGATTCAATTTTGACTCAGTCAGAAATATTTTAATTCTGATCATTTATCAGTACATATCCATATTTTTTATGTCTATGTATAAAAACAAAGCTGATACTTGAGACTTCATCAGAGGTTTAAGCATCACAGCAGATGCCTATGTGTCAAAGTAACTGAGGATAAAACGCAGAAAAACATGAAGGAGATTTTCCTGCCCTGGCTTTTTATAGCAGATTCTGCAGTAGAACAAAAACTGAAGCAAACCATGAATCAACCTATGAACGTATTACCTGCTGCTGCTGAAGTGAAGCAGAGCAAAGTTACAGAGGTGTTAACATCTTTCTGTGGAATCCGTTCACCTGCTTTTTAATCGTTTAGTGTTTTAACTCTTTGGCAGTTTTTGAAATAGTTTCGTGAGCCTGAGCTGAGATTCTGGCATTTCTGGCAAAATACATTCACATTTAAAAATTGATTCAGAATTTTTAAGAATCAATATCACATTATTCAAACTAAAATCAATTTGAAACGGAAAATTGATTTTTTTTATACCCACCCCTAATAATGGCTCTCACCGTGGTTTACCAAAGCCTCAGAAATGTTTTTTATAACAATTTCAAGACAGATAGATGTCAGTTTGTTAAATCTTAGCATGATGAATTGATATTTGAGATACTTTGGCCTACTTCACTTTGCCATACAGGTTCTTGTTAAGTGAGTTTTTGATTCAGTAGGTCTGGTAGTAAGCAGGCTTGGTTGTGGCTTTTGAAATTGAATGTAACTTTACAAAAACATGTGGTTAATCACAGTTAATTCGTGATTTAACAATCAAGCAGGGCAAAATAGCCTTACTTGCACTTCTTTAGCAGAGAATCAGCTGTGTCATGCACTTATTTGCTCCGACTTGGACTTCATGGCCCCTCTTGAACTCATGCTATGCTCAGTTTTTCTTATCTTAACCCCAATCCCTGCCTCTCTTTACTGCAGAATCAATTTGGCTATCGAGATGGTGGTCCAAATGCTGCAGAAGGACCCTTGGCAGGCACACAAGCTTGTGTGAACCAGGATGCCACAGGTGGCCCGAGCCCAGTCCTGGAGGACCAGCGTTGTAATGGAAGCCTGCATAAGAAGAGCCTGAGCCAGGCTGGAGGGGAAGACAGTGGGGGTCAGAGGTACAGTGCTGATCCAACCATCTTTCTGGGAGAGAGAGCATTGAGAGGGGACACTGATGAGGACGGATACATGACGGCAATGAAGGACAAGAGCTCCTCAGGTACTCATAGTAAAGCCTTATGAGACTGTTGTGGCCACTTGAATCATTTAGAAGATAGTTAATCCAGTTTAATTTTCCAGAGTATACATTAGAAGCAGAATTGCTCTAAAGAAGCTAAAAATAAGTTCAGGTAGGAATTCTGCAGTCCTGCAGGGTATTTAATAGTAATGATGCATAAATGCATTTTAGGAGCTGTATTTAATCCACAGCACATAGTAGATAATATTAAACTTTAAAATAACCTTACCTAATTAAAATAATTTCTTACTAATCTAAAAACAAAACTGTGTAGAGGAAGTTAAAGATTGATTGCGCTACAATCATCTATGCAGCTCCACAAACAGAAACATAATTAAAATTATAAACAAGTACATAATATATGTGCACCTTTCTCTCTGTCTTGTCATCTCTTTGTTCATTCACAGAGTAAATACGATCCTTTGTACGATAGTCGGCCTGTCAGTTTTCCTGTTCATTTCATCTCATTCCATTGATTAAAATTCCTACTGAGTTTCCTTCGACGGCGGTGTATGTCAGCTACTACTACAGAGTCATGTTTTGCCTTTGATCATAATTCAGTCCATCAGCCCTGCTCTTGCACTACCGTCTTTGATTTTTTTTTTTTTTGAGCAGCTCAAAATATAACAAAGCCTGCAGCAAAATGCATCTGATGCAATGTCAAGGAGCGGAAAAGTGGGCAAAATCAATAGGTTTCTCACCCCACTATTATAGCGCTTGGAAGCAGTGAAGAGGGGTCATTTGTTGGCATTTTCAACCCCGGCAGATGGAGTTTCCAGTGCCAAAGAACTGCTGGCAAGATGCCCGTCTTGTCCTGAGTGCCTGCCATTAACGCCATTATCATCTCCATCTTCTCTCCTCATTACCGAGTGATCTCTTTCTTTTACTCCATTTCATTCTCTATTTCCTTTGTTTTCTCACCTCTTGATTTAATTTCTCCAGATTTTTTGTTATTGCTGTCTGAACTGTTTTTCTCTTCTTCTAATTCACTCTCCTTCTCATTCATTTTCTGTGGTACAGAATATCTGAATCCCATTGAGGAGAACCCGTTTGTCACGCGACGTAAAAACGGCGAGATCCACGCCCTGGATAACCCAGGCTACCACAGCACACCCAACAGTCAGCCCAAAGGAGAGGACGAGTACATCAATGAGCCCCTCTACCTCAACACCTTCCATACCCCCGCTGAGCTGGGCCTGGAAGCCCTGAGGAGAAATGGTCTGCCCCTACCCACCCAACCTCCTTCTTCTATCTCAGCCACAACCTCAGGCTCCCATCTCCCGCTTACCATCCAGACTAGCCTGCCCCACTACCCCCTCCCCACAGCCCAACCATCTCCATCTGGTATTCCTTGCCATCATGGTCCACCGACTCACATCCTCCATGCCCACCACACCGTCAAACCTGCAGGGCAACCTGGCAATCCAGGTGGCAGCTCTGTTGCTCAGAGTCAAGCAGGAACTACTGCTCAGGCTCAGGTGAGCCAGTCGGGCGCCCTGTCCACTTCAGCCACCATTGGGCATGGCAGCCTGCCAGCCTACCAGAGCTACGCCACCACACACCCTGCCAGTTTGCTGAAGCATGGAGGGCAAACATCAGGTAAAGCCAGCGGAAAGAAGCTGAAGGTGACCTTTGACAATCCAGAATACTGGCAGCACAGCTTGCCTCCCAAATCATCTAACCAGGCAGCCTCAGATGGTGCCCAGGGAGGTTCCACCAACGCCAAGCTCTTCTATAAGCAGAATGGACACATACGGCCGGCAGTAGCTGAAAACCCTGAATACATGTCTGAGTTTTCCCTGAAAGCTGGAACCATCTTGCCACCTCCACCTTACCGGCAGCGAAACACTGTGGTCTAGATTATTCCATTTAACAAACGTTCCCCAATCTTCCTCTAGCCTCCAACAAGCCCAACATCCTCTCCAGTTCCACGGTCCTACACAAAGAGAGAGTAGCACCAACCAAGGCTGCTCTCAGCCCTGCCCAGATAACAGGCCATCTGCTGTAGATTGTAGCAACATCTGGAGGAGGTGGACCGAACCAAGCAGAAGCAACTCAGACCCCTGAACTGTCACTATAGACAATCTCGTCCATCTCTGTTCTGTAGATAGAGACTGTGCTCCATGTCATTCAGAATGTCAAGGTTATGGTAGTTTTCAGTAAAGAACAGATGCTTAATTATCACACAGCAGTGGATGGACTGTATCTGGGGGTATCTGAACTCACTGCCAGCCACTTGGGTTTCAGATTTGTGAGAGGAACAAGAAGTTTTACTAATCTTTTTGCTTTCTATTATAAAGTTCTGAGGAGGAACAATATTCTGCAAAGGGTTTCTGAAAGACACAATCACATAGAACAAATACAGTCTGTTAGATGTCAAGATGCCTGGTTTTCTGAATGACATTAGAGTGAGGTAGCCAGGCAACAAAAGCAAAATATGGAGGAAGAAAAGACAATATAGAGTGGACAACAAAAGATGGAGCACTCATCAATCATATTCAGTGATTTTGCCTATAGGATTATACCCACCGTGTGTTCTTTTATATGAAATATGTGAATCTCATCTCATCCTTCTACTGTAACTGTGATACTGTGATGGACAAAACTACAGTGATCTTTTCTTTCACATTTGTAGTTCAACCATGGACTTTTTAAATTGCTCGAGAATCTGCAGGGCAACTGCTGTTCTGTTGGTTTTGCTTGGCTGCTGTCTGTTTGGAGAAGCTGACTAAAACAGCTTTCCCAGGGCAAATGGTAAAAGGGAAACCACACTGTAAACACTTTTATAATCACGGGTTTCAGTGCTGAAAAGATTTTTATACACTGGTTTTCCCATTCAAGCTAACTCGGATGAGAAAACCTGCTATGAGCTGTAGAGTACTCCAGTAAAGCAGCTGAACTCAAAATGGTGTTCAAAGAGAGAGAAAAAACTACAGAAAGGGGAGGAAAAGTTCATGAAAGTTTATACAAACTGACTAATGAAGACCTCAAGGAAGGAACAAGACAGCACCAGCAGAGCACAGTTAAACAGACTACTTTATATGTCTATCTGTCTTTATGTTAGTGTGATTGGGATTAGTGTGTGCGTGTATGTTCATATTTTAGCAAGCTACAGATGATCCCACTGGGGGGTAAAAGTCAGTGTTAATGGAGTCGAAAGCTAAAGATCTTCAGTACTAACCAACAATCGACTCTATCAAGGCTTTTTTTTCCTATGTTAAGTATAAAACAAACCAAGCTCAAATCAAAAGATCATTAAAAGCCCCAAACTGCACCAAATGGCACCAAATCTCTGGAAGGGTTTTATAGATTTAGGGTGTCCTTAGCTAACGTTACTTTCTTTGAGTTGATCAAAATCAAGAATGTGAGGATTTATCATTTTAGTAACTGGAACTGGAGCTTGTCTCGGTCATGGTGTTTGTTATATTCTCGATTGCTTGGTCCGAGAAAAAGTACAACTCTAGACTACTTTTGGCCACATAATTCTTGATTATTTTTGTCCACATCTGATCTAGATGTTTTTTGCTTCTTTTTTTTTACAGAATCATGTTTTTTCCAGACCCCACCCATATTCTTATTAGACTGTTAATTGGTAGCTAATTTCATTTTGGCTACTAGAAGTGTCAGTGGTTCCTACCCAAATTGTTCACAAGGCAGAAGTCGATAAGCTAACCTTGTCTGCTAGAAAATGTATTTTAAAGAGCAAGAAAAAATGATGCTTTCAAATAAGTCAGATGTTTCAAAGCTAAATGTATTCTTTAGCATTAAAGCTAACTTAAGCCTCACATGCACCTCCATAGAATTGTAACTACACCTTGTGGCAACATAGATCTCTGATCTTGCCAACGAATATGTGGCCATAGATTGTGGCTAAATACAGAAAACTTGACAGTAGCTTGAAGTGTATATTTTATTTATATTTCAACCAGGACAACTATAGTCAGAAGACTGTTGTTTTAGTAATTTCTGTTTGGAGGTATGGTTCTATTCTGGGCTAATGTAGAAAGCACAAAGCAGGAAGACTCCTTTCACGTAAACTATACTTCTGTTTCAGCTCTACACCGTAACTTATACCATAACCAGACCCCATTTTAACCCTATGCCGCAACCTTCTAAGTAACATGTTGTGCACTTCCCTAGAAATGTAACTACATGTCGGGCCAATGCATACCACAACAACTTGATGGTGTGGAAGACCTCAGTGTAGGGATACAAGGATTTTCCAATTACGTAGTTAGTTGGGATGTTGAGATTTCCCACAGTAGTCTAAATGAAGTTTAAGATTTCACAGAGCAGAAATAACAACAAATGTGAAAAGGAAGAGTTAGCTGGATGTGGGGTTGGCTGCTTCCAAAAAACTGTCATAAGGATGTGTAGAAGGGTACTAGCTGAGACATTAGCTTATCCGCTGGGACTGTGGTGGAGCTTGACTTTGTCACCTAGCTGAACTTGGCCTTTGCTCCAGTTGTGGTCAGAAGTTTATATCCACTCATCACAAATATCATGATCATTTTGGGCTTCTAATGAATTCTTTGAAACTGTCTTTTTTCCATGGTGAAATGACTGTATAGTATACATATTTAATGGCTTTAAAAACAAAAAATTGGGCTTTAAAGTTTTAAAAAGTATCTGGCATAATTCTGGCTGGATATTTGGCCACTCTTCTTGGCATGCATTGAAAATGTAAAAAGTAAAAGAAAAAAATTCTAAGCTGAAAAATAGCACGACATTCATGCCCATGATGAGTGTATGTTAACAACTGGCCAAACCAAGTTCATAAAGCAAGTTCTGTTTTGAATACATGTAATTTTTTTTAATGCAGCACAGGGTAACTGGTAAACGAAATTAGTACTATACTATATGACATTTTTTTTCAGTTAAAACTATAATGTTATGTTTTCCAATATTAAGTTAGTATAGTTTTCATTAGTTTCTTGGTGAATCACCAGACAGTCAACTACTGTTACCAGTATTAATAACTGTGCCAATTTTTAACATACCTAAGAAAGTCATTTCTTGTTTTGTTTGATGTAATTTGCACTTTCAGCACCACTGAGTTTTAAATTAATTAGTCTAGCCACTGTTTAACAAAGCCTCTAATCTATAAAGGCTTCACATCTGTTCTTAGCCCAGAGTGATATCGTCACTCTCAAGAAATCTCAAGAAAATAGTTCTAACCCTGACTACTGATGCCTGTGTAGGCAACTTGCCAGTCAATGCTGCTGAAAGGACTGTATTACAGCCGTTATTTCTTCCACCAAGCCATACACAACACCTGTGGGTAGGGGAAAACACTGCAACGCTTGCCAAACTTAGAAGTTCAAGATAAAACTTGTGTAATGTTGGTTTTTCTCAGAGGTCCTTTTGCAATATCTCCTTTATTTAGTTGAATGAATATGAAGAAAAACTTGTAGTTCTTGAACCTTTAACAACAACGGTATTTTTCATTATTTGTGGAGCATAAATATTGCTTTGTCATAGTTTCAACAACCTTTCATCATTCTGCTCTGCCAGAGCCCAGCCCTGCCTAAGCTGTGTTCTTGCGTAGGTTATTTATTTTGTGTATTTAAAAGTGTGTGAAAGTGTGCTTGTCTCAGTCTATGCACATGTAACGCTGTATGTGTTTATCCTCCCCATGGAGCACTTTGATCAAAGTCGCGGGTATAAAGAAAGGATTTCCACTCTTCGTTACTGAAATATTCAACTTGTTTATCCAGCCGTTTACCACTTCAGAAAGCAATAGCTTTAGCAAAAGTACAAGGAAGGAACTGGGGCCAAGAGGTCATAAGGAAAACACATTTTACATGGTACTTGACCAGCTTCAAGAATGTCCTTGTTTCCATGTTTTTTCGCTGACTTCAAACAGTATTTATAGTAGTGCTTTGATGCTGTCATGATTAATTGATGAAGGAGTATTTTGTAGTCCTTTTTCGAGCTCTAATTCAGTGAAATAGAGACAGCATTTAATATCAATGTGAAATATTTATGGCGCGTTTGAGCTTGTTTATACTGAGCGATGGAAGCGACTGCCAAATCTGGGTTTCAAGAAAAATGAACAAAAATATGATGGTGGTCGAAAGAAAAACACACGCCTTGGTTTATGCCTGTTTTGCCCTAAATTACACTGCAGACCCAGGCAAAATGTGTGTTTGAATCAAGAACAGATTGAAGGACTGATGATACAAATGGTTTCAAATGTTCTCAAGAGCACTTAAGAGAATCCGAGGCATCCCCACTCTCCCATTTTTGATCTGAGTCATTGACTTGTTTGTTGACAGAAAGGTAGGAAAAAGCACCTGAAGTTCCCCTTCTGTTAAGTCGTGTTTTTTCCCATCCTAAGACCTTGGTTATCCTTTTAGAGTACCAAAATGTGTTGCGTCTATGTGGAAGCATTTTTTTCCTCTCTGAAGACTAATATCTTGTGTCTTGTTTCAAACTAATTTTGCCTTGGTGTTACCTGCTGCTATTTGTCTCAGTCCTTAACAGGCTTGTGTTCGTGGCAGTTCAAAAGCATGCCAGGGGGAAACACTGCTGGTTAGGCTGATCCTTTTTATATTATTTTCTGGGTTTAGGTTTTTGTTTTTTGTTTTTTACTGCCTCCTCAAAGCCAAGGTGCAAAGGCATGTAGCCATGTCCTGAACCGAATCCTTCAATATTTTATCCTCAAACACCATACAGGCTTCAACAAAGTCTATTGTATAGTAAATATTACATTGCATGGTTCCCAAAGTGAGTGTTTTACTGCCCTCCACCTTCGTATCTCATTTATGACAACATTATACTCAAATTTCTGTCCAGTGTGGGAAAAATTAATCAGATATTTTTTATCGAGTTTAGTAGCACAAACTGGGAATCCTTATTTCTGCGATGTTTCATGGGAATTTTTATGTGTGAGTGTAGTACACCCCCACCCCCTCCCTACAGTGTCTTTTTAATATTGAGTTTTATCCTTAGTATCAACGATGTAACTTCTTTTTCCCACTATTGTGTTGGCTACTGTACATTCTTCAACATGTTTGTTATTCTAGCCACGTTTTTCGGTTTCTTGACATTTTAATTGCACAAAAGAAGAAAAAGCTACTCTTAGCTACTCCCTTATTCACAAGGGGTTGCCATAGCGGGTAGCTCCACATATTCGGTTTGCTAGATTTTTACGCCGGATGCCCTTCCTGATACAGCCCCGAAGGGATTTGCGTCTCCTACCGGAAATCAAACCAGGAATCTTTCGCTTGTTAGGCGAATGTATAAACCACTATACCATTGTCCCTCATAAAAGAAAGTCATTCATTTTCTGTATTCAAATCATTGTATCAGTATAACTGTACAGAATCTTTGGGATTTCCTCCCAGATTTATCTAACACACTTCAACAACAAATGTGAATAATATTTTTATAAAGCACCGAAATGGCCGACTTGGTGAATTTGTAAATAAGGAGGCGATGCTTTGAATTTATATTGGTCTTCTCTCCTACTGCTTTTTTCTCCTGCTTATATCGACTTGTACAAAAAGAGCCGTACATATTTGCTTTATGTAAGTGTACCCTTTTTACTAATGGGTATTTCATTTTAAAAGTGCTTGTTGTTCCCTTCTCATGTGAAACTCTGTTCAGTGGCCCTGCTTCAGACCTTTGTGGCTGTTCACGTGTAACGTTTCAGTTTAAGTGAACACTGTTAAACACTACACAAATAACAATGGGTGGTGTCTCACTTTGAATACTTCCATAATAGTAGCATATTAGCTTGATAGTGTAGTGTTGTCTGAAATCAGGCACGACAAGAGGCTGGACTATTGGAGCATTTTACCATGGCTGTTATGTTAGCTGGCACATTTTGTTCATGTTTACATTTGTCAAGTTACTTACTAAATGTAATACTAAATTCTTCTGAAGTAATGTAAACACAGCAACATCAGTCCCAGATTGAAAAATCTCTTGCTTTTAGCTTTCCAGATAGCTAGCAATAACAAGGATTGTTGCGCTAGCTGCAACATTTTATAAACATATGACAAAATGAGCTTCTTACCATGTATAACACTTTTCTGTCATTGCAGATGTAAGTTTAACATGCATAAATATCAGCCGATGCCATAATGCGTGAAATATCAATCCCGGGTTGCTAAGCATCTGCTGGCGGTAGCTAGCTAGATAGCGCAGACTGCAAGTCTCACACTAGATGGCGCATTTAGTGAATTTATCAAGTTGTTGAGCCTCTGGTCAGATATCTTACACTAAAATCTCTATGAAGTCACAGAAAACTACCAGACAATACCACAGTGCAGACAACATGCCAACAACACAAAAACAACTAACTAGCTAGTATTAGCTCAATATCTGGCTCTAATTTGAAGATCAGCTGTTAATGCCTTAGTTTCCACTACTTAAGGCCAAAGTCAGACAGGCTGTGCGACGGGTTCATCATTCTCCTTGCAATATCTGATCACTAAGGAAAGATGTATGGTCCCCCACCAGTTAACAAGTGGTTGCTGGAGATTGCTGTCTGTCACAAATGGGGTGCTGCATCAGACAGCCTCCTTGGGATCGTTTTGTTTGCTTGCATATTGTTGCTTTTGCCTGTAGTTTGCATGAAAAGCAGCCACTTTTCAACTATGCTCTCTGTAACTCGAAACGGAGAACATTCACCTTCAAAATAAAAGCAGTGCCTTATCATTGGAACTAAGACATTTCAAAAGGTGCAACTTTTACAATTAAGGTGAATATTTGCCAATTGTGCCACACTTTTGACAGTTTCACTACAGCTTAATGAGTAGTTTGCGAGCATTTGCAGGCAAGTTGGACGCTTCCATGCAAACTGGAGACTGTGCCAGTCTAACAGTGGCTAAAACAATCATAAGTAGATTTTTGGTACAACTCTGTATACCTGTTGGCAACCAATGTCATACTAGCAACTGCCAACAACCTCCAGCAGCCATTTGCATACTGTTTGTGGAATATACACTCTTTTGCCATGGTGTTCACTAGCTGTTAGGGTAACCCCACTCACTCTAGGCCTAAGTGAGTGAAGGTTTTAGCAATCAATTTCACAGTCATTGCTCGCAACAACCAGCAACCACTCATCAACCAGTTGGGCGATGAACATTTTTCCCTAGCAACCGGTCATAATCAGATTATTCCCAGCTGGTCTCTAAGCCTGGGTGAATAGGTCCTGAGCAACATTCAGAATAGTGCATGTGTCAGAGATTTACAGTTAACAAACAGTCAGGTGAATGATCAACACTATTCACAAAATAACGGTAGGGGTGGTAGTACGCAAACTGAGACACATCTGATTTACTTTTCCAATGCCTACCATGTCAGTCAACCAAGAGAACTCAATGCCATCTTTCTAAATGTCATAAAACTGAAACCTGTGGTCCCAACTAACCTATATAAACTGTGTTTGAGAGTCAGTGTTACCTTCTCTGCTTACTTTCAACTCGAAATATTACTGAGCCAAGTCCACCCTCTTACTCCTCTTTTCTGCACAGCCTTCACAATAGGCCCTGATTTCATTTAATTTGTTTTGCATGCTTTCAAAAGGAGACATAGTGGAGAGAAGGCGTCATCGCTTGCTCCTCTTTGCGTACTGTTGGTTTTCAATACTTTCCCCTTGTCCCTTTACCCAACACCGTCATTGCTGACTTTCTCTTTGAGTACTTTGAAACCATACCCAAAGCTTTATATCATAGAAATACCGTTCCTCATGTTTGTTACATGAATCTGTCAAAAGTATATTTTTAATTTAATATAAATAAAGATTGATTCGATATATGGTGTGGTCGTTTGTGCACGTGTGTTTAGTAAGTGTTGGGGGGGCTTTCTTTACTTGATATTTACTTGGGAAAGCACCACTTTAAAGTTTTTATTCTTGTTATGAGTTGTGTATCTTCAAAATCAGCCAAATCAGGGATTGCTAACCTTATTAGGAATTCTGTATCTTTTTCAAATACCCCTCAGTGGGGAAGCTCAAGTCCTCAGCCCAGATCATAGGTTTCCTTGCTCGACACGCCACCCTGCTGCCTATAAATAGAATGGAAAACGAAAGCTGCTTTCAGATGCTCTAATCCACATGCTAACAGCTTCAATAATAAAATTTAGCAGATGGTGTCTTTAATTAAGGCAAGGAAGCTCTCAAGTTACAGTTATATCTGAACATTTCAGAAACTTGCACTGGAGACGAGATGCTGCACCTCTACACGCTTTCATGCTCAAAAGGACTTGCAGATGAAGACCAGCTGCATCAAAAAGGTCCGCAGTGTGCTCGCCTAGCTTCCTCCAAAACCTCGCCTCAAATCAGATAATGTGTGGATACAACATTTTGCTGTCGTTTTACTCTCGCCCCGCGCTGCGCTTAATACACTGTTTACCCAAGTGTTGGTTATGTAAACTGGCATAGGCAACATCTTTGCTATGCAAGCGCTCCTTCATTCCACTCCGAGGCTTTCATTTCAATCATAAATAATACAAAACTGTCCAATGGCAGAATATGAGCTTTCTGAAGTCACTGCTATTAATACTAATAAGGCAATGGGGTGCTTTAAGTAAACAGTGTTTATGAACTAAAATCCTCCCACTCCTTTCTCGTCCTCCTTCTGCCCCTCTCCCCTCTCTCTCTGTTAGTTTCCTCAGAGCACCGAGACTCGATTAGTAAGCACATCGAGTTCCACCACAGTAATTTAGAGAGGTGGGCTTCTACTGCGGATGAACAGTATTTGAACTATCTCCTGTTATATATTCTTATAAAGCTGCTTATTTAAAATCTATATTAGGTCTGGCTTCTTCAATGACTGTCCAGAAAAATGACGTTTCCCATTCGCTGCATAAAAAGGAAATTTAATTGATACTCATTCCCTTCCTAGCACCGAACTCACATAATAGACAGATTATCTTGAACATTAAGCACACTTGCCGACAAGACTTTGCACATTATCAGACACACCAGACAGCAAAGGGGGGAGAGGTCACTGTTAATTTGGCAACTGCTGTATAACCATTTGTCAGTGTATTACAAGTCTCCTTTAAAGCCATTCTTCCATTGAAGCCTGCTATCGCCGCCAGGAGACGAGGGTTCAGCTCCATCCCGGAGGCCTGTAGCAATTATACTTACAGCTGCCCTGTACACCTGTGACATAGCTCGACGATGACAGCTCATCGCCAACAGACTGCCACTGTTTAATTGCAGCGTGTCACCTTGACGGGGTGTTTTGCCCACATCTCCTCGCACCAAGGAGAGACAGCTTTTTGAAATGGAGCCACAAGATTGATGACCCTTTAATATAGCAGCCTGGGGTTTGACTAGTGCTTGTTTTTTTGTTTGTTTTCCACCAGAGTTTCATTTATTGTGGTCAGAAGTACTCTCAGCAGGATGTGGACCCCAAGTGTAAAAAGAATTATTCCATGAATTAGGAAGGCTCTCTTGAAATAAAGAACAATTGCTCTACTTATACAAATTCATTGCTGTACTTATATGCACTTATTGCCCATATAAATTCAGGAAGACAGCTTTATGTCAATGAGCTACTTTCTCTAAAGATTAAAATGGCTGTTTTTCCATTTTAGTGTACTTATTAGGATGCAGATAACGCGTTTTTGATTTAATGCTGACACATTACCAAGACCTTACTTAGTCTATGTGCTGCTGATGTGCTGGAAAAGTGGATATATGTCAATACTGTTCAAAGTGTACCATAGAGCATGTCTTTTTTGCATCAGCCAAAAGGCATACTGAAGTGGAATTGTGTTTTAAAAAAAGAAACGAACAGAGAAACATACTCACACGCCACTTTGGGTACATTTTGCTAGTATCAGGCTTAACTTGTTGTTTTCAGAGATGCATACATTCAACAAGGCGATTAGCAGTACACTGTTGCTGCAGATTTGTCATGTTCAGCAAACCAGTTTCAGATGATCTACACTTTGTGACATGGGATGGACATGTTCAACAACAATACAAGCAAATATCCCCCAAACCATTAACACCACAACCAGGCAGGATGGATCCATGCTTTCATGTTGTTTACACCCAATTCTGAACCTACCATTTGAATGTTGCAGCAGAAATTGAGACTTGGCAACATTTTTCCAATTTTGGTGCAGCCAAAATTGGTGTTTCCTGTTCTTAGCTGACAGGAATGACACCCAGTGTGGTCTTCTGCTGCTTTAGTCCATCGAGGTTCAATGTCTTGTTCATTTAGAGATGCTCTTCTGCATGCCTTGGTTATACTGTTACCTTCCTGTTAGCTCAGAGCCATCTGACTGTTCACCTCTGACCTCTGACATCAACAAGGCATTTTCACCCAGATGGATGTTTTCTCTTTAGAGTTACTACTATTAGTTGTCCGGACATGTTTACAGATAAACACAGCGTTTAATTCATTTCTCACACTTGTGCTTATGAGTTCGATTTTGGAGAAGGAAAGAAAAGGGACATCCACACAGACACCACCATCCGAACTCTTTATTTACACAGCCGTATGCACATCACTTCAACATGTGGAGACGTTCATAGCTTGCCATACCAGCTGTTGCTTGGTTACAGTTGTGAAGCTACATGGGAGTGTGAGACGGTTGGGTATTATTTGCTCTGCTGATGTTATGATATTATCCTCTCTCCGAAACATCTGGATTCCGTAGGATTCAAACTGCCACTGAAAAAGCTGCTAGAATTGAATCATAAATCTGTTTCTCTGTTAATCTGTGTCGTTACAGCGCTCCTCTTCGTCATGTTAGTGCTAATCTGACATCATTACTCTAACATATCGCACCTTTTTAACTTCAGATGGCATATTTACATTGTAATAACACAGGGAAAACCGCTTGTGGTGTTGTGCAATTAATGTAATGTGCAATTAAATTCAGAACGTGTGGGTTACGCGGTTAAAGATATGAAGCATAAATCACAGTTATCTCCCATCATGGGGCCATATCTCTCCTGCCGCGCCACGGCTGCACATGGTTAATGTTAGCTGGCAATTTTCATGAGTTATATCCAGCGCGATCCAGGGCTGAAGCAAGCACAGAATCAGGGGCAAAGCCACGAGTTTTGCCAGCATAATTAACCTACGTGATCGTTAAGTCTTCACAAAGCTGTAAAAGATTGACTCTTTCCCCTCCGTTTAACCTCAGGCCGGCCAAACCAATCGTGACGGCATCAAATATATAGACTGTGTATGATTTCAACGAATGAACTCAGGATAAATGTGAGCGTGATCCTGCGGTTAATCTTTCAAATGCATGCATGTCGTTTCATAGCTATCAGAGATTTCAAAGGACGTTTTGCAGCTTTAAATATGAAGCTATGGTAAGCATCATTAGTATTCCTCAGCAATCCCTCCAAAGCCACGCAGTTCCAGTAAGTGGTTATTTAGTCTAATCGTTTAGAAAATAGCTTTGGTATTACACCTTTTTTGCTAATTTGAGGAAAAGTTATCTACCCTTCAACCCCCCCACCTAAAGCTAGGTGAAATGTTTATTACTGACTCAGCTGCAACCTGAGGTTTTAAATCCTGGGATCTGTCATTTTCAAACTCAAATAAAAGTTTCCTGTTTATAATTGAATATTTCTTTAAAACTCCAGGCTGCTGTTGTTGTTAGATCATCCCTTTTGTTTTTCACCAACCAGATTGGAAACCGGGGGGACATGCTAGCTCCATGCCTGAGGCTTATGCAAAAGTCTGGGGGAAAAACAGAACCAAAGAGACCTATCTGCTGCCTCCCACTGAAGACGCTCAGTCCAGTCTGCAGCTGAGGATTATCGTGTGGAACGCAGGAGGAGGAACGTGAGACAGCAACTTCCTGTGAGGCAACTTTTCCACACAACATAGTAATCAGAGCAGAGACGGCAGCAGAGGAGAGAGCAGAAAACAAGAGAAGGAGAGTTAGAGAGGAGAGGCCAAATGGAGGTAAAGGTTGGGCACAACAGCCTGAGGCACACTGTCGGGGGCAGAGAGCTGCACAAAATCACCTCTGAAAGGGTAGCTGGAGCTGCTGTTGACTGAAATCATAGCAATACTGTGAGAGGCTTGATTTTATAAAATATTTTAGGAAGAAAAACTTGTGAGGTAAACTAAAAGTGCAGTAAACAGAATGTGTGCTTGCTATTCCTTCTACACAAATTTATACGTGCTGATTAGTGCGAAGACCTGTTTTACGGTGAAAACTACGGCTCAAGCAACTAGAGTCATCACTTCAGGTTATGAGGCACCTTTCAGTCGATGTTGTGTGTGTGGTGGTGGTGAGGGGGGGGCAACCCCCCCCAGATTTCCAGCTGCCATGTTTGTGTTTTCTACAGTTGTGGTGAGAAGTTTCCATCCATTAATCAGCCTGAATGCCGTGGTAATTTGGGGCTTTTAATGGTTTCTTTGAACTGTTCTTTTATCTCGGGTTGAACGATTGTACAGAAAACATCTTTGATGACTATAAATATAAAAACTGAGTGTACAAGCTTAAATTCATTTAGGTTTTTCTCTAATCCACACATGCTCAGATGTCTACACAGAAGCTCAAATATATACATACACTGACATAAATCGTAAGTGGTGCTCGAGCTTCTGAGGCCTGTCGGCAGCCCTCTGTGTAATCTGACAGACTCGGATCTTTGGTACTTATATATTAAAAATCGACACAATTGTACAGCTGAACAGCGAGCACAAATTCGCCCTTATGGATAGACCTCAGGGATCCATGTCCTCTCGCTGAAGGCACTATGCCCACTCAGCCCAATTCTATCGATATACTTTGGCTAGAAGTTACAAACAAATTAATGCAAGTTG